CCCTTAGGTCCACTCAAACGGTATGGCATGTGTATTTTTGTATGTTTCGTAGTGAAAATAGGCAATGTACAAAAAAACAGCCGGTAACAAACCTTTTTTTTTTCACTAAAAAATTTACAACTTTAGCTTGATTTGACGGCCCCTTCGATACATAGAAACGGTATGGCACCTACCTTCCGATTGGTTTTTTTTACGTAAACTATCATTAGAAACACATGCCATCCGGTAACTTATTACGAAAAAAGCAACAAATTTTTGACAACTTCAATCACACGCTATCAATTTTAAAACCGCGGGAGGTTTGCCATACTTGCGTTTCCTACATGTTTACCTAATAAATGACGAATTATGACGATTTCAAGCGGTAACAAATCATGACCATTTTAGTGTCATCATCTCCCGGACTACTAGGAGCTATGTAGTCTCAAGCGCTGTGAGTGGCTCGTGTCCAATTGAGCCGTGTCCAACTGGGTGTCACCCTTTTTATTGATCCACCATATTTTAGGCTTTCTACAATAAGTCATTATTTCAGCTTAAGTCTTAAACTGTAAGAAATTGACCAATCACAGTTGAATATGAAAAGAATAATTGATCAATTTCTTATGGCTTTTAATAGACCTTCTATAATAAGCCGCAAGTCAGAGGTTCTAAGCGATCTTAAGGAGATCCTAAAGCAAAGCTCGAACTCCGACGAAATCACTAGATGTCGCGCCGCGCGCTGCACATTGACACGTCTTTTTATATTGCCCCACAGCAATATCTCACGCAACTGATACACGCAGTCACGCGTGTCAATTTTCGTACAACGAATTCGTCGCGATAAAGCGTCTAAATCTAATTCTAAGAATTCAACGTTGTATGTTCGTGCAAATTACGTGTTTGGGAATTATTATTTCGTACGTTCGGGTTGCAAAGCTTTCATATCAAGCAAATGTTGTCACGACTTGACAGCTGAGACGCCATATTACACTAAGAAATGGTAAATATATCGATTTCGAAATTTTTGATCATTCTCAGCGTAGACTCCACTTCACAAACACGTATTGATGGGTATACTTTAATCCTGGAAAAGGATTTTCGAATCCGTGAAAGAGAAAAAGAGTATTCGTTATACAAAAATTATATGTGTTTAGTCGATAATACAGATGTCTTTAGAATCCCCTTAAGTCATAATCGGTGAAGTTGGCCAATAGCCAACTTGAACGACTTGGTTAAAACTGGTTAAGACTTCTGTCGTTCTGACTTGCGGCTTATTATAGAAGGCCTATAATAGGCCTTCTACAATAAGCATCGACATCTAGAATGGACCGCTGATGGCAATGGTGGGGGTAGAAAGACGATTAGAGTGAGAGGCAGGAATAATAAGATCGTTCTTTCTCTGTTTACTGTTTTTCTAACTAGCCTGGTTGGTTGTTGGATTAACAAAAACCAATTAGGCTTCAGTAAACAGAGAAAGAACGATCTTATTATTCCTGCCTCTCACTCTAATCGTCTTTCTACCTCCACCATTGCCATCAGCGGTCCATTCTAGATGTCGATGACAATAAGCCATTAGTCATAAATCAAAAGTCAGAAGCTAAAAGTTGACCAATCACAGTCGTCAATTTTTAGCTTCTAACTTTTGATTTATGACTAATGGCTTATTGTAGAAGGCCTATAAGACTTAAAGCTTAGGTAATAATTTATTGTAGAAAGCTTATGAGATAGAATGAGATGGGTGGATGTTCCATTTTATCTTAAGGCGATGCTAAAGCCTCTTGTTTTACCCACATTTCCACTCGGTGAAAAATCTCCGAATTGGATTTACGGATTGCAAAAGTATTATTACATAAGTTAAAGTATGTACAGACAGGACTTCAGCTGTACTGGATTTCATGAGAAACTCGAAAAAAAGTTAAAAAATTCACTTTTGGCCCGTACAGCTGTCACCTCAGATATATATTTGCTTGATATAAAAGTTTTAGAGTCCATATCTTAAAAATAAGCGTGCAGCTGAGGTCGCATTACTGGAACGAACGATACCGAGAACTGGATTGAAAGTCTAGAAGAAAAGTATTTTCACCGAGTAGAAAATACGTGTATATGGATGCTTTGCGAAGATTGGGAGCCGAAATTCCGTGTAGCAGTAGTCACGCGACTTGCGATAGATGATGCTGGCATATGTTAGATAAAGACATATGTATGCGTTTGAGTAAGACAGAATGATATATAATATTAATATAATGTAAGAAATGAATAAAAGATGTCACTATTGGGCGCTTTAGCATCGCTTTAAACAGGTCCTGAAAAACAGCACATCAAATTCTCGTCTCCAATCTCTTATTTGAGGATTTTCAGGCTGCCTTACTGCTTATCCTACCAGAGATTAATTACTTGATCTTTTACAATATGTCAGAAAAGCTTGTTACAAAATGTCAAGCGAATTTTAAGGAACGAATGTCATTCAAGAATAGACTCCACTATGCTCTATCATGCGAAAAGTGCAAATTTCACTGTATTAATAATTTGTAATAGACACCGTTCCCCCCTATCAACTTTATACTAAAATAAAAGTTTATTTGACAGATGCAACTGCTTGTGATTGTGTAACTGTAAAATGCAAACAGGACTCTTGAAAACAAACATAAATTAACTTTGTGAAAATAGGCGTCGTTAATCTGTTGTCGCATGACGAGATCTGTTTTTGCGCCGCGAAACAAAAACCGAAATATTAATTGATAACTGTTGACTATATATATAATTTAAAATTTTATAAAATTAATTAATTCTAAAGTAATTTTGGCTTATCGACATATTGCTTGCCATGGTGGATAATGGTGGCGAAGGTGCCGGCCACCATGGCGCCCCAAAATAGCATATAGAGTAATATTTCTGTTGTGTATCGCGATGGTAAGATTATGTGAGCGACCAACATTGAGGACGCGACTAAAAGAACAAGTGGGAATGTAGCATAACGCCAATTTCGTTCGGATTCTAAGGGACATTGAATGGAAGTACATTCGCCATCCTGGACAATGTAACGACCTAGAAAGAGCTCCAACGAATCCTGTACAACATAAAATATCGTTCACAATATCATCAAAAGAGAGAAAAATGTTTTCAAAAATTATTTACCTGTCTATATCCATCGGCGAAATTGTTCTTGTAATATCTCGTCAGAGAATTTAAACCATCTTTCATTGCACCCAATTTAGTGCGCTTTCCAGTTCGCGTAAAGTCAGTTTTTAATGCCCCTGTACCTGAATATTGGATGCTTATTACATCTGCGTTATCCGCCCAAATCTAAAAATATTAATAAACAATTTTTTTAATCAATAAAACTATTTTTATTATTAAAAAATCATTTACTTGTCCGACTATATTTCTTTTTATTATTATTTAATATTATAATTATTATTTATTATCTACGTATTATAAGACTACTTCTTCATTTTATATAATAGTAAAAATTTATAAAAAATTATATGAAGTTATTTGAAAAAAATAAAATACCTGTTTGAAAAGATTTTCAAATGCAGGATGATCTTCCACCTTTCTAAGTATCTCTAGCCTGCTCAATACTTCGTTAAGAACTCGCTTCGCCAGCATGCTTTGTACAACATTCGTTCGGTCTAAACAGTCGACACAATTTGTACGGAAAACACCATCCTGAGCCGAAAGCAATGCTCCGTCCCTCATCAATAAGAAATACCCCATCTGTTCTTGATCATGTGCTAATCGGTCCATTAAAGTGTTCAATTTGTCCCATCTCAGTCTTCTGCATTCCGCATGAAAATCAAAAGCCTCATATCGAATATTTTGGTTGTTAATTCTTTGCACTAAATTACGATATGCGTTTTCTAGCAATGCTTCTGGTCCACGCTGATCAATCTGTTCAAAATACTGGTATGTTTATAAATATAACAATAACAGTTTTTTCTATAAAATAAAACATTTCTAAGCCAATCCCTGTAGATAGTAGGAATAAATATAATTCACAAAAAAGCTTTTTTCACAATTATTTTAATTTTATAGTATCTAAATATCATAAATAAATGTAAAAAAGAAAGCTTACCAAATTCACTAGAATTTGCTTTCCATAATGAAAGATTTGGACATCAAAGTGACGAGCACAAGCGCTTTGATGATCCTCGTGTGGACTAATCTGCGGCTTTGGCTTGTACTTCAAGTTTGGCGCTTGATACCAAAACAAAGGAATGGATCCACGCGTTTGCACGAAGGAACTGCAATTGCCATTCACCTCGATTAGCTGCTCTGTCTCTACATAATTGGATACATTCCCAGTAGCATCTATACCACGTGAAAATAATCTTGTTCCAGCACGATGTATACCACGTCTAGAGACAATACCCCAATTGAATGCAATGCCATTTACAACCACTGTGTTCAGTGAAATGACTATATAATCAATTGTTAAGGGGGTTCATTACAGAAAAATATAAACACTTAAAAATTTTAATGATACAACACTATTGAAGGATACAGCCATGGATGATAGGTAAACAAAATTTGTATTGCTCTGGTCTTGCGCTTAGGTCCTGCAGAAGATAAGCGTTCCATACGAACCTGGGATCTGCTCTGTCATGAAGTGGCATCTAAATAATGACATTCCTTTACCATAAAACTGCTTATGATACTACATAAAGTGGCAATCTAAACACGCAACATATTTACTTGCAAGAATTCAGGTGTTGTGTTATGCAACCTCTGCATAGTATGACTGAGGTCATAGGTATAACTGAAGTAAAAGTATGGTGTATTTAAGACAGATTTTACCATCTCCAGGTATGTAGAATTATTTTGGACCTGTTTCTCAGTCAAATGCAAAAAGGACCTAGTATAGGGTATCACATCTGTTGAAGATATTTTAAAGATGTTATGCCCAGCTATAGTCCCACACATCTGAGCATCCGTAACAACAATAAGGTAACGACATGCCAAGAGATGTATAGTTCCTACCAGTCCCCATATTTTTCTACGGCTGGCAGTCGTTGGAATCTGATTAGCAGTGCCGACTACAAAAGGAAAAACAAAGATCATCAACTTTAGTTTAATTCAAACACATAAAATCGTCTGTTAATTACCTTGAGTATAAATCTGCTGACTCACTCTATCGACTACTAGCAGGACCTTAGTTCCGACTGGTTCCACGAAAAACTTCTCTGGAGTGGCATATCTTGGCAGAAAAAAATTGATAATTAGAGTGAGCAATAAAATTGGTAGCACACATAATTTTTCCACATGTGTATTTTACAAAATAAAATGCATTCTATGCAAATGTATTTTCTTGATAATTTACTCACAAGTATAAACTGTCATATATATCCATATTTGGCATCATATTGTCAAATGATGAATAGATCGGAAGTAAGTAGATACGCTGAGCAGAAAGACGAGCAAGCGAAAAAATAATAATAAAATAAAGTTTGGGAAAAATAAATTACTATCTTCTGGTGAAACACAATCCATTCATACACATAATAAATAAACAGTTTAGCCCCCCCCCCGCACCTCAAAAATCAATAAAATTAGGCTTTTTCGACGCGTTTTTGCATAAAACGAAAGAATTTGGTACAAAAAAGAATAAACGTTGAGAATACCTTGGTCACCACGAATTTTGATAAAAATATACTTAATTGATGCGTTTTCGCGTAAAAATTAAGATTTGACAAGAAAAGAGGGTCGTTCTGCCCTGTAAACCGAAATATAAATCGTTAAAGTTGACGACTACTCAGGTTAGGAAATCTGTCACATCCACGAATTACTACGATCATGATTATCATGAAGACTAGAAGCCTGAAGCACAGATTATCAAAAACTAGAAGGAGACTATAGCGAGATTTTCTAATGTCTTATCGACGATTGTCGCTAGCGATTGTTAACTAGCGACGACAGCCAATAGCACGGGATCATGATGTAAGAAGACAAGAGCCGGTAATCATAGTCAGGGCTGCGTTCGGGCAGCGCGCTATCAACGCTATTTGTGTCATACTATCCTTGTTTCACGTTTAAGGGGTCGATTTTGTTAGAGGAACTGAACTATATATACACTGGAATGGGCATCTCCGCTGTGATGCATAGAAAATTGTGGCCGCAATTGATCAGCCGCCATTTTGATTTGATGTGGTATTTGAACAAATCAGAAGCTTTCAGGTGCTCATGCGCACTTACGTTTAGTGTTCTTAAGTAAGACGTATATATATGGCATATGGGACGGTGATCGTTGGTGATCGTCTACCGGCGTGGTCGGACGTGTTATTGCGTCATCATTTTTGGAAAGTGTGACCCGCGGCTTCAAACGCACAATTGAGTTTACTCTTTTAGACTTTCGTATTCTGCATATTCTCACGCGAAGAAGAAGTAAGACGCGTATGTCAGCAAGATTATCGTGTGTGAGGTTATATTTGAAGGATTATAAAATCGCGTGACTGTCTATAAAGCATCAACATGAAGTGCTGTGTGCCTGGGTGTGGGCAAAGAAGTAAAAAGGGCCTTTCATTTCATAGGTAAAAATAATTGAAGTGACATTATTATTATACCATTTATGTCCATATAGATTTCCATACATCGATAGTACATCGATCGCATATCGATCGATACATCGATCGCAACGCGCGCGCGAACGCTTCTGATTCGCTCAAATATCGCATCAAATCAAAATGGCGACTGATCAATTGCGGCCACGAATTTTTCCCGATGCCCATTCCAGTGTATATATAGTTCAGTGGTTAGAAGCCTAGATAACAGAGATGCGACATTGAAGGGTATGGTCTGATTGGCTGTCTAAATCACGTGATCAGAGCGCCATTTTAATTCATTAGTCCGGATCTACGATAAGGTTTTAAGCCTTGAGCCATAAGAAATGGGCGAATCATAATCGCTTATTCTTCTCGGATTCGACTATAATTGGTCAATTTCTTACGGCTTAAGGCTTAAAACACACCTATTGTAGATCCTGACTTACTGCGTATAATTAGAGCCCCAGGACTCTACATATCGAGTCTAATAATGTATGTACGTATAATGTATATACTATTTAAGTACATACTATATATATACGTACTATACTTTCTTCTTTTTTTAATAATTTAACTTTCCTCATGTAATGCATCAGATTCGTATGTACTTGACCGGACAAAACCTCCGGTTGTAAAAATTATTATTTTAAATCGTTTGTATTTCGTATGAAGAGTTTTGAAGTGCAAATAAAAAGGTTGGTGAGTCATTGTATTAATTACAATTAATCATTCTTTTTTGGACCATGTACTTGACCGAAATAATTAACCGGATTTAAATTCAACGAAGTTTAAACATGGAATCGTTTGTATTTCGTATGAAGAGTTATGAAGTACCGTTAAAAACGTTTGTGAGTCATCCAGACATTTTTAATTAAATATTAAAATATCATGTATTTGACCGAATTATAGATATAGGCGCTACGGTCACGGAAATTCCGTTGGATAGGTAGTCTCTCTAGTATTTTGGATATTCCATGACTGTATTATGAAATTGCTTGCACTATGTTTTGATTGTAAATTATTTAAAGGTGTGCGTATACGGTGGTGCAATGCACAAATAGACAACTGTGACAAAAGGTGTGCAAATTGTAATTGCAACTCCGGAAGATTAAACGATTTGGTTCAAGCAAATGTATTGGATGGTTCAAGCAAATGTGTCGGCTGTGACTTATCTTATACTCGATGACTCACAAACATTTTTAATGGTACTTCATAACTCTTTATACGAAATACAAACGATTCCATGTTTAAACTTTGTTGAATATCAAAATTAATACTAGAGAGACTACCATACGAAATACAAACGATTTAAAATAATAATTTTTACAACCGGAGGTTTTGTCCGGTCAAGTACATACGAATCAAGATTACTGCTTTAAAAACAAAAATTCACTGCTTTAAAAATTCTTTGCATTAGCAGTGAATTTGTGTTTTTAAAGCAGTACTTTTGTGTTTTTAAAGCAGTGAATTTTTGTTTTTAAAGCAGTGTTCTCATTTTTAAATTCAAATTCTGAATTGGAGTACACTAGTGCAAAAACTTATTGCACTATTCCAGAACTAGGTCAGAATTCTTCGAAAAAGAACAGATCTTACGTATGCATAGCGCTGCAGCGAGTCAGAGTGACAGGTATCTTAACCTCTAAAATTTCGAAGAGCCCAGACACAAGCTTTTGCATAACGCATAACGCATAGTGCATAAGCGAATCAACTAATCAGAAGCTTTCCTTTCCTCTCATTCCATGGAAAAGAAGAATTTCGATTGGTTGTTTCCATTATGCACTATGTATTATGCGTTATGCAAGAGACGTGTGTGCTGCGGCCATAACGCTTGATATCTCGGTTCACGAGGCCGACCAACGCATTTTTTTTCAGATTTTTTCATTGTGAGTGAAAACGCGTCGAATGAGCCCAATTTAATCAAAATCGGAGGTGAGGCCCCGTATTCTAAATAATTAACCAAATCGATATAGCATAGAGAGTACGAATACAGATATAGCGTTTTTTTTTCTTTCGCGTGGTCTCACGCGTGGTCTCAACCTTAATACTTGAGGATTAAATAAATTTCTGGAATATATTATGTATTTTTATTTTTAGTATTCCTTTTTATATTATAATATTTTTATATTTATAATATTGCTTTTTAATATTTATTTTGTGTTTAATATCTTTTGTATTTGTTAAAGTGTATTGCAAGGAGCGTTGTAAGTATAGAACTGATAAATAATACATTCAAATTTACCACGAAACGATGACGTAACTTGATAACAATTCTGATTGGTCGTTCGACTGTCACGTGATTACATCTTGCGCATAGGCATACCCTTGTCTTTATATCATGGATATCCCTACCCCCGTGTGTCTTATTATTAGTAACATATATGCTGACAATCGTTGAATAATCACTCAAACAGTTGGCTGTATGCTGAAGGAATAGATGGACAGGCTGATCGACTGATTTTCAGTTCGCCCGTTGTCGACAAGGGCCTACGAAAAAGATCGATTGTTGTTTGGTGAAATTGTCGACGTTGACTTGTATCTTACTTAATTGAATTAAATTTATTTCAACATATTTGCGACATGCGGAAGACACATTCATCCATTGTTTTCTCTTTAATCGTGGTGTTCTCTACTTGTTGTTTGGCTGTTAATCAGACTTTTGTGAATACAATGAAAACAAAACTTAAAATACTTGGTGTCTTCGGTCATCCTGGCAAGAGTCATTTTGACGTGTTCAAGCCGCTTCTGGAGGAACTAGCTCGAAGAGGTCACGAGGTCACTGTGATCTCGTATTTTCCTAGGACCGATAATGCCAAAGTGAAAGAGCTGCTACCCAATTATAAAGACATTAGTCTGGTGATTCCTAAAGACGGTATCTTTGTAAACGTTGTAGATCTTCAACAGATCAATCACGGATGGTTTCGTCCCATGCTGGATCTTTACATGTTGAGGATCATGGCAGATTACTCATGCAGTACCGGTCTGCGAAGTTCGAGTGTCAAAAAGTTCCTTCAATCCGACGAAAAATTTGACTTAATTCTCACGGAAAATTTCAATACCGATTGTTTTTTGGGTTTTATTCATCGCTTTGAGGCGCCATATATGGCCTTATCATCGCATCAAATCATGCCGTGGACCAACAGTGACATGGCTAATACTGATAATCCTAGTTACATCCCGATTATAATACTTGGATTAACTAAACCGTTAGATTTCTTCAGTCGAATAAAAAATGCAATATGGCTGTTATTGTCTAAAGCGATTTATGAATATTACTTCCGATCTGTCGATCAAGTTGTCGCCAACGAAGTCTTCGGTCCGGATCTTCCCAAATTGAAAGAAATTGCCTTGCAATCGCAAGCGTTATTGGTGAATACCCACAGTAGCATTCATGGCAGCAGGCCACAGCTACCGAATGTGATAGAAATTGGTGGACTTCACATTCCATCCAGAGTCAATCCGCTACCGAAGGACATAGCTGAATTTCTTGACAGCGCCCATGAGGGAGTACTCTATTTCAGTTTAGGCTCCATGATCAAGATGTCGTCGATACCACAGGAGAAGTTGGATGCTATATTAAAGGTGATTGGCTCCATACCGCGGAAAGTGATTTGGAAATGGGAGGCTGACGAACTACCGCGCAAGCTGGACAACGTTATGGTCAGAAAGTGGCTGCCTCAGTTCGACGTAATGAGTAAGTGAAAGAATGTTCCCTTCTTTTTTTATGGAACAGCATGTGTTCAAGGTCGAGTCCTTGTATTAGACATCTATTTGACTTTAAGTTAGTCTGAAAGCACAAAAAAAATGATTATAAACTATTAACTAGTATGGTGGGGAGGAAAATGAAATTATTCTTTTTCGAAGGTCTTAACAATTTCACATAGAAATATTTTTTGTTTCTTCTTAATCTCTTCAAACTCTGCGTATATTGTGATATACATTAAATTTGAAGACGTTATCTGTTGAAATTATTTAATTCCGTCGACATTTTCTAAGATCTGATGTACATAATAGATAATAATGTATATTTTGGAGAGATAGACAAAATTTTGAAAAAAATTATTTAGTATAGATTACCTACTTAAGTGCGCATGAACTAAATTAAAAAAATTTTTTTAACATAATAAAATCAGGTTTGAAGGGGTTAAAAAAAGTAGTAAAAGTTTACATTACGTGTTTTAATAATCTGTTGCAGGGCTCGGCACACGATATTTGCGCTTCTCGGCCGATTTTCGACTCGGCTCCGCCCTCTGCTACTCTTCTCACCTCTTCGCCCCGCGCGCGGTTCAAATGTCACTCGACGCTTAGGAGCGTATAACACTCGTAGATATGAGTCCACCCGCTTTGGGCGCTCACGCTGTAGACTTCATTCTATCTTTTTTTTTTTGTTTATTACATAACTAAGATAGAATGAAGCAACATGTAAGCGCTCAATCTACCGCGTGAGAGGAGTAGAAAATCGGCCGAGAAGTGCAAATCGTGCCGAGTCCTGATCTATTGCATAATATGCGATTTATTGTATTCGAATTTAATTGGTGAGTATTATAATAAACAAAAAATAATGCGAATTATGTAAAATGGAAGTTAAATGATAATAAATGATGTATAATTGTCTAACATTTCAAAGTGAAGTACGTGTACGTGTATACTATTTATGAGTGTTTATTATCTATGTTGCATCATTCGCATGATAATTTCTAGTTTCTATTGGTAATAAGTAGTGTGACGCATAGATTACACATTGCATGTTTCATTTATGCGTGACATTAAAACATCGAATATAATATAAAATATCGAGATTGATTTACAATTAGGCACACAAATAATATAGTATATAAAATATTTTGCAAGGATTGTGACGCGACATATGTTGGACAAACGAGCAGGACATTAAAAACACGAATAGGCGAACATAAGAATCACATCAATTGGAATACTCAACAACATTCAGTAATTACAGAACACAGATTAAATTACTCCCATGAGTTTGATTGGAATAATATAAAAATACTTGATGAGGAAAATATGTTAGAGACAAAAGACTTATCCCGGAAATGATTCATATTCAGAAACAGAATAATAGTTTGAATATACAAACGGACACAGATTTGTTAAATAAGAACTATGCATGTTTATTTATGGACTAATGAGTTTCTCTCTCTTCAATTTTTCTTTACTTTGTTTTTAGGATGAAAGGACGGAAAGATCATTTGTGTTTAGATGTGTTCCGTCTTTTCACACGATAACTTCGTATTTTCTAATCTCAACATTATCGTGTAAGTTATTAAATTATAAATACTATCATTTGTGATAGGTATGAGAGTGTTGTATTATAGAATTTCATTATGTTAAATATCTTTTTTAAACATTTAATAATTAAAATATATATGTTTGTAATTAGCGTTCCGGGAAGAACAATGATAAGTTGTGGAATTGTATACATTGATAAGGATCCGAAGCGAGGATCGAAACGTTTGGTAACGAAATTATCGAATAAATTCATTTACACACGAATTACCAGTGTTTGACTCGGAAAGGCATCTCTTCATATACATACAATTAAGATTTATAAAGAAGATTAAATATTTACGAAAAAGTTGAATAACAACAAGATCAGCTTATCGTTACCGCTCGGTACACAATTCATTTAAGAATTTTTAATCTCGATTTTAGCAAAGAGTTCTTTAACGAATATTAAATCATTATTAAAAATATGATATTTATATTATGTACTCTTAATATTATTATTTTAAACATTATTATTTATTTATATTTTACATTGACTACACGTATATCACATGCTTTTAAAATAGAATGCATGAATTTTGCGATTTAATATCTAAAGATAAATGCGTAATTTTCAAAATAATTATAGAGAAATCAGATGTGCTATAACAATAGCCATGCATGTGAGTATAATATGCACATAGATGCTTCTTCTTCTTCTTATTAGTTAATGGCTCCCGCCTCCAAATAACAAAAGGTGGTCGATACGGCCAGATCACGTTGAAAAAATGTCAAACGAACTAAAGTGTATAACGTATTGGGGTGATGCAATGCCCGCGAATATGTCGCCGCGTCTACGATGTCGTCACGCCGAAATAACGCGCGTCGGAACGAACGAACGAGAGACGAGCCATCCGCGGGGGAATCAAATGCACAGTCAGAGTCGGCCACACTCTCAAAAATTTTAAATTGAATGCACCCGGTCCAAAGCGCGTCCGCCAAGGTCGAGTGATTCTTCAGAACTGGCACATAGATGCTAATGATCATTGATAATTATATTACAGATCAAATTAGTAATTTTCTCGAGTTAAATGTAAGTTGCTCAAGGACGTGAGAAATAATAATTTTTGTTTTTTTAAGTATTAATATTACGCGTAAAGTAGCTACGGCAGTGTCGCTGCGCGTAGCCTAGCGCCGAGACATTATCAGTGTCTCCAGATTCGAGTCGACACCAACTGAATTAAGTAACATCAATGTCATAGTTTATCACTGATCAACAATGTAACTGTTGTGTAACACCATGTGTTTTATTACATTTATGTTGTTAAACGCAAAATTATACTATTAGTGACATAAGAGCGTATTATTCATAATTCTATTCATATATGTCAATTGTAAAATTTATGGATGTTAATATTGGCAATACATCAGGCTTAAGTATTTTGAAGTTTGCTTTAGTTACTATGACAGTTGTAATCGGATACAAACAAAATGAGTATACACTAGTTGTTTCGAAGCAGTATTTTCATGTAGTCATCCAAATTGCAGCTTCTGTCTGTTACATGAGAAAAGCTGCGTTTGGACTTGACTCTCACGTGATGCAAGCTTTATTCTATTTTTATCATTCATTACTCATAAAAAGAAAGAAAATAGAATGAAACTTACAACGCGTGAACGTTAATTCCGAACGTAGAATAGTTTTAGCAATTCACAAAGAGGTTGTGTATACAGAGTAGGGGAGCCAGCTAAGAATGCGTGAGCGAATAGAAAGAAACAAAAAACGAGATGGCTATCAGCATCTTTGGCTGCGGTCGATTTAGATGCTCACGCGCTTTAAGTGCTTGTAATCATCATTTTGTCTTTATCGTTCATTAGATACGTAAAATAAGAATAGAAGTACTAAAATGCGCTGAAAGCGTCCAAATCGACCGCAACCCTTGTTTAATTTAAAGGGCATGCTGTTGATTTTCAGTGTTAGGTGGGGAGATTTCAGAAGAGCAATATATCGATGCCGCCCCACTCAGCTTTCAAAGTTCTATGCGCGGCGCAATATTAGAAAAAGATGGTCATCCCCAGAGAGAATCAAGGAAGAGTGGAGCGGATTCAGCCGGAAGCCGCCATTTATAGCTCACCGTTGAAGTGAGTAGGAGATATGATTGGAGCGTGATGGAACTATTGTACCGCACTAGCATTGTGTGTATGACATATATATACGTACACACACGCATGCACATTTGGGAACCAATCAGAGAAGAGAATCACTATCCGCTCCATTCTCCCTTGATTCTCTCGTGTCCTTTCCTTTTCTACTGTCTAACATTTCCACTTACAGGGGCCCCTATGCCTTGCTTACTCTATTTATACAACCTCTTTGGCAATTCGTCGTGAAGTGGATAAAAAAACAAACAAAAAGTTGACAATCTGCCTGAAAGAAGTCGACAGCGATTACGGTATCTCGAAAGAGATGATAAAGTAATCAAGTCAAGATTTTTTAGAAAAAAATCCAACTTACGTCGAGTTCAGGAAATATTGTCCAAAAAGGATATACGAGTAAATGTAAGTCTGTGAATGATTAAACGTTGATTACTTGCTTCTGGTTACAGTTGGCAAAGTACAAAACTCAAATCATTTTTGAAGCAATTACACGTGGAGAAATGTTTACAGTAGGAAAATATACAATACGATTAATATCGACTTCACAATCTGTGATGTTAACCTGATCGAAAATGTGTGTGGGCTACTATGAAGATCGAGATGAGGGAAAAGCATGTCTTCACTTGGAAACAATTATCATATCATGTTATCGTATCATCTAGAAATCACTTTCTAAGATTTTGGTAGAAAATCTCATAAAAAGAGCATGCCTCGACATTACCAAACCGTAATCGACAATGGAGAGAACTGGACGACATATTAGGTAAATTATATACGCATTGAAGCGTATATAATTCAAGATCATATATTTATTTTTCAAAAATTTTTTCCAGGACAAACAGCTAACACGCTCTTGTGCCAATAACTGTAGCATTAGAGTGCCGTCCCATGACGCATATTGCAATATTCGCGTAATCGAACGATCCAATCAATCACTGACGTTCCGCCGTTTTACATACGCGACAATTTTGTTCCTTATGCTCTATGCAGCGGATCGCCAATCACAGGATCGTTCTGTTAGATCTGTTTGCAAATTTTGCAAGCTAATAATTAGGAATACTTGCACAAACTATATTATTGGATTACAACAACTTTCATTACCTCACATATTTCTTAACTTAATGTAAAAAATATTATATTTTTTTATCTTGCTGATTGACGACTATATGGTAACTCCGGTATATACGCCGCGCTGGGATTTACGCCGCGGAAGTCAGAAAAAATAGAAGGAGTAGGGGTAATTTTCTCGCAACTACTCTGTTACATGCCTTTATGTTATATTAGTATTGAGTTATAATTTCAGCTTCTTACTGTTAATATTAATGAAATTATCGTGAGTTGAATCGATTTGTCACTGTGTGTGTAACAAGTAGCGTCATCATAAATTATAATCTACATAAAATGATTACTGTAAGGCGTGTAAAAGACCTAGTGGTTATTTCGTGATACATACGTGTAGAGGATGTTGTATAGCAAAATACAAGTGCTTTACTTTCGTGTTCTTTGTTTAGTTTGTTGAAACACTTGCATTTTTGCCATATATCCCACCCATTATCTATATGTATATAGCAAAAATGCAAGATTTCAAAAAGTTTATTTTTTAATATGAAAACTAAATATTTCGGATTTCTTCTCTAATATTTTTTTTCACAGTAGTAGACAGTACAAAGTTTTTACTGATATAGTTCGTTTATTTTAAACATAGTAAATAATACTTAATAAATTAAGTTTTTGATAGGTGCGGTGTATATACCGGAGTTACCCTATATATCGGAGAAGACGGAAAACGTACAGGTAAATAGTAATCGATGTATGAAGTAAAGAGTTTTTTGTCGGTTTGTACACCGGAAAAAATCTGATTGCATAAACTGATAGATTCAACCAATTTTGTTAAAAAAAAATCGAATCAGACTACTTTCAGAAATTACCAGATAAGCATGGGTAATAATTTATCACACAAAATTTCTTAATAATATCTATTAAATTTATTTAGGTCGGCATAATCTTTTAGTAAAATAAATTATAATTAGTTTAGAGTAAATTTAATTAAAGGTTTTATAAAGAAAGAGCCATTCGAAAATATTAAGTAAATCCTTATAGTTAAGTCTATTAGACGACCTAATAAAATATCAGGTTTAATCATGAAACTAGCAATTCTCAATCAAATCATCAAAATGCTACCATATACATCTCGTTGTTATGATATTAGCACATTTTCTTCAATGTCACAATCGTATTTACGCAATCGTAAGTTACGCAATGAATTAACAATTTAGTTATGCAAGACGACGCATTCTTACATCATCAATCGCATGACAAATTCGCATGACATCGATTGCGGTCGCGAGAAAATTCTGTTGTCTCGCGATAACCGTTTCCACAAGTAGTGATCACACTTTTACAGCACAGACCTTTACACTTATATTTTTTCTTTTATATTTTTATCGTCGTTTTTGGCTTTTTGTCGCGCTGTTTAACTGTATTGCTGACGTAACACGTGTTGTCATTCCGTTTGTTCTCTCATTCCGGTCTCGATGTATATCTTGTTAATATAATAATATTCCTCTCCCCGGCTTTATGCGTTTTCGTACATAAAATTTCAAAACTAATAAAAGTTTATTAATTACGGGTTATGAATTGCCTCTACACTCTACGTATAAATTTATAATCGATTTTGCGCTATTGTGATATTTTCTTTAATTAAAGTTGTTCCTTTGATTGTATTCGCAAGTAGTAACTATTTTTGTTGAATATTTTTGATAGATGCATAAAATCAACTTTTTATGAAGAATTATATGCATACTCAATTCCGTAATATTTAATCATACATGTAAATATTCACAGATATACGCATGTAAATATTACATATAAATATTCACAGATATTCTCGACCATCGGTTATCACGACAAGCTATTCTGTGTTTTCGCTGGTCTACTTGACAGGTAATTTAGTGTTTTTACATTTAATTGATATTTCTACAATTATATCTACGTATTATATCTATGTATCGGGATTGTCGTGCGCGCGGGTGTTTGGATCATAGTTGTGGCGTAGGACCATAGTTGTATGAAATTACGGTACTAATAATATTAAGCGCTTATTGGACTACAGGCCATTAGGTCCAAAATGGCGATCGAAGTAGCCAATAGGAAAGTTGTCGACGTTTCGATTTAGATAAAAGGCTTGCGCTACTTTGGTATTTAGGCCGGTATTTATCTGATTGGTTCGTGACGTGATTCGTGAAGTAATGTCTTAAGACATTACTTAAGACGGTCTTGAAATAAGAATCGACTATTAGCGTGTTCGATTTATTGACTCGACCCGACTCCAAGTCAATGGTCTGTTCTGTTTAACTGCAAAAGAAGAGCTAAACTGTGCAAGAAATACAGCTAGAGAACAAACTGTTGACTCGGAGTCGGGTCGAGTCAGTAAATCGAATACGCTATAAGACTACCGGCCTATGAATACCGGCCTTAGATTAGAGCTTAGGCCGGGATTCATAGTCAGGTCTTATATTCAAGACCGTCTTAAGTACGGTCTTAAGAAGTCACGAACCAATCAGAGGCCGG